CGCGTCTTACATTCACTCATGCAAAGAGTATGATCTTTCGGAACCGAATAACTCGGTTTATAAATCAGCGGCTGCGGCTCAAGCGGCAGCGTCTACAATGACCGCTGTTGTTGCTGCGGGTGAGGAGGAGAAGCTAGAAGCTGCAAAGGAGTTGCAGTCGTTACAGTCTTCTCCTTGTGAGTGGTTTGTGTGTGATGATCCAAACACGTTCACTAGGTGCTTTGTGATTCAGGTAAAATGTGTTTCAAAGTCTTGACCATTACAAGCAAATCCTCTGTTTTATCAAGTTATGATCCTTCATGTGTTAGTTAATGTCATAATTTTTGCAGGGATCTGATTCTTTAGCTTCTTGGAAAGCAAACCTCTTCTTCGAGCCAACCAAGTTCGAGGTAAAGATCATGATCTATATAAGGTTCAGTTGTTAATTTCGGTTTATCGGATCGCTTAGGCTATACTTAGATTGGTTTCAGTTGGATTTTCACATTAAAAACCTTATGATATTGATGTGATTATTACAGGATACAGATGTATTAGTCCATAGAGGAATCTACGAGGCTGCGAAAGGAATTTACGAACAGTTCTTACCCGAAATAACAGAGCATTTGTCTCGACATGGAGATAGAGCTAAGTTTCAGTTTACGGGTCATTCTCTTGGAGGTAGTCTCTCGTTAATAGTGAATCTAATGCTACTCACTAGAGGACTCGTTAGCTCAGAAGCCATGAAACCGGTTGTTACGTTTGGTTCACCGTTTGTGTTTTGTGGCGGGGAAAAGATTCTAGAGGAGCTTGGTTTTGATGAGAGCCATATTCATTGTGTGATGATGCATAGAGATATCGTCCCGCGAGCTTTCTCGTGTAATTACCCTGACCATGTTGCTCTCGTTCTCAAGCGCTTGAATGGGTCGTTCCGTACACATCCTTGTCTCAACAAAAACGTAAGTCTTTAGTGTTTCAAAACGTTTTGAAGTGATACAAATAAATCTAGCGTTTGAACACAGTCACATTTTATCTTGTTGAACTATTTGGTTATGTTATTGCAGAAACTATTGTATTCACCTATGGGGAAACTATTTATCCTTCAGCCGAGTGAGAGCGTCTCGCCGACTCACCCTTGGCTACCGCCGGGAAACGCTCTCTACGTTTTAGACAAGAGCCATGAAAGTTATTCTCCCATGGCGTTACGTGCGTTTCTGAACCGCCCTCACCCGCTCGAAACACTGAGTCAACGCGCGGCTTATGGCTCGGACGGTTCGGTCTTAAGAGACCATGACTCCAAAAACTACGTCAAAGCCGTGAACGGAGTTATCCGGCAGCACGCTAGGCTCATCGTTAGGAAAGTCAGGAGAGAGAGGAGGAGTGTTTGGCCGGTGCTGACGTCACCAGGACGGAGCTCCGGGAGCCTGACGACGACAGAGGAGATCATGTCACGTGTCTAGTGAAGGGGAAATTTACGGTCGATGATGTCTTGTTGGGTTGTATATAAATGGAAAATCTTCTGATTACGCGTTTGTTTACATTTCTTGTGGTGACTCGAAACGAGTTAATAAAATGTTGTATAGAAGAACCTTCTTCTTTTTTCGTTAACAAAATTTTAAAACCGAAAACTAAACGGAATATTTAAAATAAGAA